TCCAATCTGGCTTTAGATCTGGTCATAGTACGACTACGGCGTTATTAAAAATCACCGACGACATTCGTCACGGTATGGAGAATCATCAAGTCACAGTATTGGTGTTGCTGGATTTCAGCAATGCCTTCAATACTGTTGATCATGATATCCTGTTAGGGATTCTGCGTTCTCTTAACATATCTCCAACTGCAATTTCCTGGTTTCATAGTTATTTGCACGGGCGCCGGCAACGTATTCGTGTCCAAGATAGACTTTCTTCGTGGCTTGATACCGTAGCTGGCGTTCCACAAGGTGGTGTCTTATCTCCTCTTTTATTCGCAATCTTTATTAATACGATTACATCCCAAATATCTTCTCACTACCACTTGTATGCAGATGACCTTCAAATATATTTACAAACAACCATCGAAGATCTTGCCAAAGCTGTTGAATGTATCAACAAGGATCTGGCTTTTATTCTCGACTGGACACGATCTTATGGGTTGACGGTTAACCCTTCAAAATCGCAAGCTATAATTATTGGGAGTTCAAGAACTATTTCCAAAATTAAAAAATGTCAAATTCAACCCGTTGTATTTAATGGTATTCTTATTCCATATAATGAAGTAGTTAAAAATTTAGGTATCTTTTTGGATTCCAGTCTGTCTTGGACACCCCAAATTAATGCAGTGAGCCGAAAAATTTTTGCGGCTTATGCTTCACTCCGAAGGCTTAACTACTTTTTTACCCATTTCCACCAAAATTACGCTTGCACAATCTTTGCTACTCCCTATCCTCGACTATGCTGACATTTGTTACCTTGATATCACCGAGGAGCAACTTAATAAACTTGAGCGACTCCAAAATCTCTGTATACGGTTCATATTTGGGCTTCGTAAATATGACCATGTCTCTGAATACCGCACTAAACTCAAGTGGCTCCCAATCCGTCTTCGTCGGAATACTCATATACTTTCTGCGCTCTACTGTGTCTTATTTAATGTATCAAGTCCTCCCTATCTGAAAGAACGTTTTAAATTTCTTAGCTCTTGTCACGATTTTTCCTTACGGTCCAAAGAAAACCTTTCGCTCCAATGTCCTATACACTCCTCGACATTTTATGATAAATCTTTTGCTGTTCTTGGAGTAAGACTCTGGAACTCCTTACCCCAGTCCATTAAAAGTGCTCAGTCTTTAAATGTGTTCAAGAAACAAATTAAGGAACACTATTTGTCACTTTAACTCCTCTCTCTTTCTCCTCTTAGTTATGGTCACTAATATACCTTAAGTATGTTGTCATTATATAGTATATAAGTTATATTTTTTTTTTTTTTTGTCTAATTTAGTGCACCCTACCCATTATTTTTATTTTTATTTATTTCCTCTTCTGGGTTGTCTGGAAGAGATTGCTATGTAGCAATAAGACCGCCTTTTGTTTATCCCTCATTATTCTTTTTATTATTTATTAATGTTTTGTTGGTGTACAATAAAGAGTATTGTATTGTATTGTATTGTATGTCCGCCGCACTGTTACAATACTTGTAGGCAGACATCACACGTTACTCAAAAGTTTTATTTGAAATGCTTTTTATAACAAAAAAAGTCAAATCTGCGAAGAAGATCGTAATACAATAGTGGTCTTTTGCCGGCTCATGATCAAGAAGGATAACAGATTTTCTCACGATGTTTTCCTCCACCGCAAAGTGCTTGATAAATCTTCAATCACTTATAAAGCTTTAAACAATAATTTCTATAGTGTCTGCACAGAACAAACATAGTTTTCTCATCATCATCATCATCATTACAGCCCTTCACAAGTCCACTGCTGAACATAGGCCTCCCCCAAGCAATGCCACAAAGCACGGTCCTGAGCCACCTGCATCCATCGACTTCCTGCATGTTTTACCAGGTCGTCACTCCATCTAGTGGGGTGTCGCCCTACACTTCGCCTACCGGTACGAGTCTGCCACTCGAGAACCTTTCTTCCCCATCAGTTATCGGTTCTTCGAGCTATATGGCCGGCCCATTGCCACTTCAGCTTACTAATCCGTTGAGCTATATCGGTCACTCTGGTTTTACTGCGGATATCCTCATTTCCGAGTCTATCACGCAGAGAACGAGAAACTCCGAGCATAGCCCTCTCCATAGCTCGCTGAGCGACCTTGAGCGTTCTCATACGGCCAGCAGTGAAGGACCACGTCTCTGATCCGTAAGTCATCACTGGCAACACGCACTGGTTGTACACTTTAGTTTTCAGAGATTGAGGTATACCTGACGAGAAGATGTGTCGATGATAGTTTGCTCGTATGCTACGAAATTTTAACGCTTACCTTACCTCCCATAGCTTGATTCTCACAACTTGATTCGATATAGCGACGACCTCAATAATCGCTAAGTAACAGACTAGCTATGCTAATGTACTATTTAAGATAAATTTACGAATTCAAAAAAGGCTTCGAGATTTTCCTAGAACAATTATTATACTCTAATTGAATTTAGACGTTGATGAATGAAATAATTCAGCGATGTTTCCGTCCTTCATCTTTTTGTTTCACTTGTGTATATAAGATTTAAGATGATTTTGGTACTGAAATAGATTTATAATCAAATCACAGCATCAAATTTAAATTAACATATCGCCCATGATCGTGGGCCCTGTAAAGTGCTCGAAACGTCGGAAATATGTATAAAGTAAGTTAAAATAACCACACCCGGTCATTAACTCAAGTTACAATTATTTGCAAGTTATGGAAACAAAAAGAAAATACAGATAAGCTAATAAAAAACAAGTAATTTGGATACCAGTAAAGGAATTTTTCGTTGTCACAATAATCGGCTATGGGTGGATTTGGCCTAACGATAGTAAATTTTATTTTTAGAATAAACCCTTATTTATTCGAATATAAATCATTTTTACGTTTTAATATCTGCAATTCTAAGAATAGCGAGCCTATTCGGAAATAGTTATTAATCCTCACTTTCGCACAGAATAACAAAGTTATTCCAAAAATGTTTTAATGGCGTTATATGTTTCTTCGATGGTATTACTATCAGCGTCAATTTGAGGCTCACTTCGTTAGATATATTACTATATTTTGCATTTACCTCACCCATTTGTTATTTCAAACAGCGAATAATATCAAAAAATTAAACATACAATAAAACCAAACACAGCGAGTAAAACATCAAACCTTGCAAACAACTCGTCAGTAACACTCGTTGACAGATATTTTAGGCAAACGTGCACCTAGGCCATACCACTATATGTCCCACATAATCAATTTATCAAGGGTGATAAGTGGATGCTGTGGCCTATAAACACGGACATTTATCCTTGATTAAATATCAAAATACAGATGCGTTGTCACCCCTAAGGACTAAGATGAAATGTCCCGTTTCCAGTAAAAAAGGGTCTCCGGTTCTCTACATTAACCACACCAAACATACCAGCATTAAGCTGCTATTTTACGATGGTATTCTGTGTTGTCGTGATTCTACCCCGGTCTAGCCGACCCATTTGCATTACAATTTACAACCATATGATTTTACTCGAGATTTAAATCGTGGAAATGGTTTATCTCTGGCATGTGGTAAATCGAGGTTTGGTCGAATCCTCCCCCGACAAGAGACTTATACATGGACCTAGAAAAAAGGGCGGACGCCGTCTCTTAAACCAATTACTGACGCACCCATAGTAAGTCAGTTCGCTAATAGAAACAAGCCGGTACGCAAAAATGCACACCATAGTAAGTCTACCGCCCGCCATACGCTCAAACCCGCGCTCGCGTAGTTACTCACACATAGTTAAACGGCCGCCAGTGCGGTGCGTCAATTGTTTCTTAGCGATACTCTGTCCGCGCTTTTTTCTAGGTCCATGCACGTAAATAAAAGTAACGTTACGATCTTTACACATCCTACTTCTGGAAATAAACTTAAAGTGGTAGGATTACTTTTTTGACTAGGATTTAGTCTGGGTTGGTTTCACTCTCTTGTCTATTTCTGACGCCAAGTAGTGGGGTGTGCAATGCTATAATGCGCTCCGAAGCATATAGACAGTATATTTACAGGCTGAGAAACATTCCATCGTATTTAAGGGCTACAGTAGCCATTTACCATCAGGTAGACTGCTAGTTCGCGTGTCAGTTAAATTTTATAAAAAAAATACTGTCAATCGTTGAACTGCACGTCAGTTGTGAAAACTTCTTAGCTTAACAAAATTGTAAACATTATTTTTGGGTTTATAAAAAATATATTTTTTGAAAATATATTTTACTAGAAATTATTTTTATTAACGTATTAATATAGAAACAGTTTTTTTTATTTATTGCTCTGTTTTACATGAAAACAATGATTATTATCTTTAAAATACAAACAAATTTAAAATACATGTAAGTTTTACGTAATTTATTCAATTGGATTGTTAAAGTTAAAGTAAAGTTGAAACTTTCATCAATTTTATGTACCCGGTTGTGATGGTCACGCAAACTCAGTGCTTTTTTCCCATCATAAAAGTGCCCAACGTGCCTAAAAAGAAATTATCACTTCTAAAATATTTAGCAGACACAAAGAATTGCTTAATGAGTAAACACTTAATATTACGATTCAAAATATGATTGATAATTGTGTCTATCTAATCTATATAATCTAATCTATTTCTTATGTTGAATACACAAATGACCTTCAACTTGGAACATTTTTTCTTCTTAATGCTACTACTAGCATATTCTAGTAAATTAAGATATGATAATAAATGTTCGTTATAAAACTTTACCTTCAAGAAAAGAGCGTACTCCTTTCTAAAGGGCCGGCAATGCACCTGCAATTCCCCTGGTGTTGCGGTTGATCATGGGCGGCGGTAGTCACTTAACATCAGGTGAGCCGCATGCTCGTTTGCCCCCTCTTCTATAAAAAAATAAAAAAATAATAAAGAATATCATGACTAGAAGTTATATAAGTCTTATAATTGATAACCTTACCATTGTTTAAGTTCATTAAATACAACTTTCATTGTGTTTGACCAGGATGGCGACCTTCTGCCGAGTCAGGACACAGTGCTCTTTCCTAAACCGCGACCAAGCGAAGGGGTCTTAGAGGAGGACGTCACAGATCCAATGCCCACTGCGGAATCGTCCAAAAAGGTAATTTTAACAAGTTTTTTAAACATGCTTTCTGGTTTTCTCTTATCTTAGGTACAAATTTTGCAATCATATGCACTTGCAATGCAACATTTGCATACTTTTTTATCTGTCTATTTGTTTCTGTATCTTCACTACCATTTTTTTAAACTGTTTAAAAGAAACTTTCCGATTAAATAGAATATTTTAATAAAGCTTAAAATTGCATTACTCACAGTAACGCAGAAAAAACTTTTAACAAAAACTAAAAACCTAAATTACTACCTAGGGGTGGAATTTTTTTCCAAATTTATATGTACTCTTGAAGGAATCATCAAATTGGTTCACAATCTGCGAAAATATCGCGTAACATACATACAAAAACGCATGTACACTCGAATTGAGTAAAAAATAAAGGCCAACTTTAAAGAAATGAAATAATTTCACTTTCTCAAGTTGGTTCTAAGACATAGTGAATAGAAAAATAGATCTTTTCATTGAATGTTATTATTGTTTTACCAATTTTGGGAGGACTAACGATTATTACTCACTAAATGTCCAATAAATAGGTTCATTATAAATTTTATCACCTGTTTTGCCTCCATTAGGGGCGGATTTTTATTCTAAATTTATACCGAACCATCCCTTATGTAAATACATACATACATAAACACTCACGCCTGTCACCCAGAGGGGTAGGCAGAGACTACAGACTTCCATTTGGCACGATCCTGACACACCTCTCTCGCCTCCTTCACATCCATACACCTACGCATACATGCTCGTCGGTTAAGGTTACTCCTAATTTGGCCCGTTTTCAATAAATCGCCAATTTGGTCGATAAATTTTCGCCTAGGACGTCCCTTTCCGACTCTGCCATTCACTTCTGCAACATAAATTTTCTTTGTCACTCTTTCCTCATTCATTCTTTCCACATTACCAAACCACCGAAGCATTCCTTTCTTAATCCTGGTCACAACATCATCTTGCAAACCACACTCTTCTCTTATTACACAATTTCTTACCCTGTCGTTCAGATTCAGCCCTAACATACTCCTTAAGGACCGCATTTCTACTACGTTGATTCTACTCTCGTGCTTCTTCTGCCACACCCAACTTTCACTACCATACGTTAAAGTAGGGACCAACACAGCATTGTGAATTGCCATACGTGCCTTTTTTGACACATTTTGACTCTACACAATAGAGTGCAGGGCCCCATTTACCCTATTTCCCGCATTCACTCGTCGTTCTATATCCTTATCATATCTCCCATCCCTGCTAAATACGCAGCCCAAATATACAAACTCATCTACTTGCTCGATCAACTCCTCCTTCTATTCTTATTTCACAAATTGTTTAAATAAATTAAATATATTTTATTAGAAATTATTTTTATTAACGTATTAATATAGAAATAGTTCTTTTTATTTATTGCTCTGTTTTACATGAAAACAATGATTATTATCTTTAAAATACAAACAAATTTAAAATACATGTGAGTTTTACGTAATTTATTCAATTGGATTGTTAAAGTTAAAGTAAAGTTGAAACTTTCATCAATTTTATGTACCAGGTTGTGATGGTCACGCAAACTCAGTGCTTTTTTCCATTTTTTCATCCCTTAAGTATGAACTAAATAAAATAGGAATCATCCAAATTGATTCACACTTGATGAAAATACTACATAAATACTACAAAACAAATAAACAACAATATAATTGAATCGAATTGTAGCCTCTTCTTTTTGAAGTCGACAAATTTTTTTTCTACTATACCACGTTTAAAATGGGTCTAAAATGTATACTTAACATATTTTTTTCTAGCCCCATACCCATACAGATTTTTAAATCCTTGAAAATAAATCGAAAACGTGGACCGCATATAATAATAAGTATAATAATAAGGTCTGTAGTAGGTATCTGTCGTTGAGAAAACTTAAACAACAATTTAATAATATAAATATAATTTTTTAACGACATAGGTGAACTATTCATGCATTCAATATGTTTTTTTTTATTTTATTTATATTTAAGGGGCATTGATTTATATATTAACTCAATGTTAAGGGGTAATAAATCTGTATGGGACTAGAAAATATTAAATACGTTTTAAGCCGTTTTAAAGACGTCCTTTATCATTAAAAGGAATATTTTTTGTAAAGCATTCCATCTTAGCTCTCATAGGTGTGTATGTGTCTCAAAAATATTTACCACTTCCAAAGTTTTGGATCAGTGTAAAGCCATATGTTTCAGGTTTTCTTATAAATTTTCCTTCCTAGCCCAGCATATACTGAATTAAAATTGACAACTATATGTACTTACTAATCTCATAATAAAACTTTATACGAGTGTTGGTTTCTGAGCTACCACGGCCCTCGCAAATTAATAAGTTAAATTGATAACAAAAAGAAATATGGTAAGAAAAAGTAAGATTTAATTTAATTATGTTTAAATTATATCCCTAATCTCCTTGTGGAATTAAAATTTATAGAATGATAATTTTACGAAGTTGCTAATTATCCGTCCACCGAGGGAATTAAATAATAAAAATTATTATTTGAATAGGTATATTACTAGACTCACTGACGTGTGTCAACCATATTTTTAGAAGGTAGGTATGGATTGTAGCAAACCGGATACCCTCTCTACTGGTTATAAGGCATTCTGTTTTAGGCCCGGGACTGGGACGCATAAAAAAATTTGATTCTTAGTCGGAAATAGATGTAGATGTCTATGAGTAACAGTCACCACATTCCATAGGTGGACTGTGTTCTCATTTGTCACGTTTATTCATTCATTCTTGGGACAATTTATACGCTATTACAACAAATTCCCATGAAAATATTTAAGGTCTCTCTATTACCAAGTTTAAATATTCAACTAAACGAAAAACTGTATAAAAAGGGTTATTGTAATATAACTGAATACATGGTTGATTATAACCTCTTGGAATGAGGTGGTCCTAGGACCAAGCTATTTCTAAAATAAATTTTGTAAATAGTTTGTAACCACACGTTGTAAAATCTATTCAAAAACATAAGTAATATTTTTGCGTTGCTACAATTCTTCGATACTCAATGTATTAGCACTAAATTCACTAGTTTAAAGTGATAATTATTTTATTATTTTTAGTTTTTTTTTTATAACATAAACGAAGTAATTGTTCGCAGGTGGCGTCAATCAGCCAGCTGTCGTTCATGGTTCGACCGGATAGTTTTGAGCGGGGCCAGCTTCGGCTAACTTGCATATCTACTGTACACTCAGTGTACAGCGAGCAAGCCGAGCTTGTAATAAACGAAGAACGGCCACAAATCGCCTCCGTGCTCGGCACAAGGGATCGAGCAGGTATGTCTTAGATAAAGACCGTTTTTTGTAAGAAGAATCGATCATTTTAAGATACAGGTATTTCTTGAAAAAGGCAATTTTATATGCGGAGCGCGGTATGGGGGCCTATCAAGGCCTTCCTTCATAAGTGCGCCGGTTTTTTTTTTTTAAATCAAATGTCCTACGACTGTGTGTAGTGCAGCCACAGCTATTGTATTATATGACACTAAAATTAAGCAGAGGCATTTAAATAATAGTATATTAAATATATTTACATCTATTTGAAATTAAAGCAAAGACAAACCAATTCAGTTTGAATGCGCACTGGCCTTGACAAAGCCATGACACAAGCTTTAAGGGTACACTAGTCGCTTATTCTTCCATACAAACGTAGTCCGGCGATTACTCCACTGTTTGATGGTGTACGTTCAAAATAAAAAATGATTTCAATTTGTCTCATCATTATCTAGCCCTGTATGGAAACAAAAAAGTAAAAAAGAGTATGTTTAGAAGTTATAAGCGTCGAAAATTCCGAATTTCAACACATGTTTTAACACATCTTTGGACGGAAATAAATACCATAAGAAGAACGAAAATTGCAAAACAGTTACCATACGGGGATAGGTTAATTGTTCAAAAATGCAAATAATTTTATTTTAAACAGATACATTTAATAGATTTTTTCGTGACATCCAGACTACCAAAGTCTGTTCATAAAATTTCGCGCGCCCGTTTTTGTTATAAAACATCTTGCCTTTCGCTACAAATTGTTTCCCCGATCAGTGGGACGCATGGAGGGGGGGGGGGTGCAGCGCGCACTCACATATACTCACTAGATTAGCCGCTGCTATCTATTTATGGTTGTGATACTTACATATCCACATCTTTATTTAGAAAAATTGCTTCCTTTTGTTCGTGTCCATTGCTGAAGCCGGGATGAATATAGCTGCTAAAATGTACCCATAAGTTTGTTGAAGCACATTTAGTTAAAATTGAAAACAAGTAGGTACATAATAATGAACTTTCGATACAGGTTGTACATTAGGTACTTAACTACTTTAATTTGCTAACTAACGAAAACATCTCATAGATAAGCACGATTATCAAAAATCTTAAAATTATCTATTAATTTAATTAGAATAGGTAATTTTTAGATTTTCGATAATCGTGTTTACGTATAGGAATATCATATCCTAATATAACTAATGTAATTTATGTAAGTACATAATAATCTAAGAAGAGCAGTCAATGATAAATAAAATGTGTTTTGTAAGTTGTTTTTTTTAAAAACACTTTAACACAACAAAAACATGAAACTGAGAAGAAGCACCCGATCTGCCGAAACAAACTCAGAGAGGTCAGTCCAGGTATTACATTGGTCATGTCATACGAGAACCAGGCTAATATGGTCCTTTGAAGAAAGAATCATACAGATGTGATTGGACAACTTAGTACTTTTTAGGATTCCGTACCCGAAGGGTAACCAGCAGGGCCCTATTACGGAGCCTCCGCTGTCCGTGTATCTGTCTGTCAGCGGGCTGCATCTCATGATCCGTAATAGGTAGATGGTTGTAATTTTCACAGAACGTGTATTTCTGTTGCCGCTATAACAGCAAGTGGTAAAAATAAATTTGAAATTAAAGGATTTTCTACTAGAAAAAGAAACGTGTATTTTTGGCTTTTTTGATCGATAGTAATATGTATAGGTACGAGTATTTAAATCTTGTAATCTCGGAAGCTCGGAAGTCCGATTCGCACTTGGCAAAATATTTGTTTATATTTAACCTTACCTCAGACATACTCATATTTTTTAATATATAATTTACTATACTACTATATAAGCTACAACTAAATAAAATAGTAGTAGCTTTGCTATGGTATTATAGTATATTTTGGATTAGATTTATTTTATTACAGAATAATACGAACTATATAAAAACTAAGGAGCGCATCAACCTACCTTAGATATTGGGTTATGAATACAGATAAGTACACATAGGATTTAGTTTCTAAGTTATACCTACATATTTTATAGCACTCGTTATGAATAGCATAAACAGGCCAAGGCTCCTAGCCTACAAACGTTTCGTAACGAATCTCTTTCTACAATTGCGCCTTTTATTTGTTTGGACTGACCACCTGACTCGTTCAGTGATGCCATTCCCATACAGTGTTTAGTTTTCAACTCTAAGTATCTATTATAAAATGAATCAAAATTTTATTCATATTTCGCTAATTGTCTCTGTACTGTGAATTTGATTTACAATCGATCTCTAAATTGTAGTTTTCTTCTAATTACTTACCTTGCCTAGACGTGTACTTTGGACTTCTGTAAGGAAGTCTGTGCTGTTAGTATTCCGTTTATATACGTTACTATTTTGATAGACGTTTGTGCTTGTCCCTGCAGTAACGCAATGCCTATTGTTGATAACTTTCTAAGTACTAAGAGAATATTTCAAACCGCTATTGAACACAAACAATCAATAAACAATTTACAAACTAACATTTTTTATTTATTTAATTAACCTATATAAAAGCCCCACTCACATCAAAATCGCGCTATCGAAAAAGCAGTTATCCTGACACTGGCTCACATATACTTCGGGGAGTTGCCTGTGGGCTATTATAGCTAACTAGCTATGGAAAGTATATACCTATTTAGAATACATAGTACCTACAGTAATGTTTGCACAACCTACAGTAAAATAAAAAAATACAAAGAAAACATAATTATGTTACACTTTTTTGTGTTTGTTTTAGAAATTGTTATATTTTTTTTCAAAAAAATGTTTTTTATGTTACCGTTTTTAGTTGAGAGTTATGTCCCTTTAGTGGGTTCAGGCGTGATATTATATTGTGTGATTGTGTAAAGAATGCTTAGATAGGCGATAGCAGCAATCGCGGTTGATTTGCTGTCATTTATTGAAGAGTGCCCCCGATTTCTCCAAGATCCCATCATCAGATCCTGATCTGACCATCATCGATTACCGTGGGATTATCTGGAAAATGTATCCTTCCAAACAAAAAAATAATTTTCCAAATCGGTTCAGGCTTCAGGCATCTTCGATAAATCGGGGGACAGAACATACATAAACAAAAACCAACGAATTGAGAACCACCTCCTCTTTTCGACGTCGGTTAAAAAGTAGGTAAAAACAAATCAATGGAATTATTATATAATAACAACATCTACTTAAGTTCACATAAGAACTTTCATAACAACAACTAAGTACATAAATTGGGTTCATAATAATTACGTTTCACACAGCAGATCCTAAGTTATAATAACACCAATTTGTTTTCTCTCTCCTTTCTCTTTTTAAAATACGTTACCCTCACAGTAGGATTTTCTCCAGTATCGTGGAGGCAGTTAACAAACATAAATTGCACAAGGACAAACATCCAGACCCGGAACAACTATTTGTAGGCCATACAAATATTTATTCCGTGCGGGATTCGAACCCGCGGCGCCCAGCGCAGCCTCATTGCTAAGCCACTGCGATACGGAGCTCAAATTGCCGTTTGAGTTTATGTTATTATTCAAAAATGAATCGCATAGGTAGGTACGCGATGACGCCGTCTCGCATTGCGTCACTCGAGTGTGTATGCGCACTAGCTTCTTACTGCTCATCACAGTGTCTATCCCTTTCGCACGTGATGTCGGCTGAGATAGCATGCATTTTTACCCCACCCAACACTTAGTTCGTGCCATCGACTAGGGCAACCTTAAACACTCGGAGCTACGTGATTTTGCTTTATGTCAAGTAAATTACATCAAAATGTTTGATTTTAATAATATAGTTTTTATTTTCTAATACTCTTTCATTCTTATCATATAAACATTTTAGAAGAATATATATATATATGTATATAATATTTGTATAGTACACTTCACTGCTGGACCACTTCCGCTGAGGAAGATATGCCTTAATCACCACACTTGCCAGGTGAATTTGCGTTTGCAGTAGCAGAGTTCTCACACCTTTGTATGAATGGGCCTAGAAAAAGGGGAAGCCGTCTCTTAGAACATTTACTGACGCACCCATAGTAAGTCAGCTCGCTAATACAAACAAGCCGACACGCATACATGCACACCATAGTAAGTCTACCGCCCGCCATTACGTTCCAAACCACGCTGGCGTGTGAGGAACTACACATAGTTACGCAGCCGCCATTGAGGTGCGTCAATTGTTTCTTAGTGAGACTGTGTCCGCCCTTTTTTCCAGATCCATGTTTGTATGCTGCTCTACGTTGCCAGTGAGTACTTTACAAGTAGAGCTAAAGAGATGGTGTTAACACAATCTATTGGTAGCCATCACATTTTTATTGGATTTCCCATAGTCGTCTCCTGCAACGTTCACGAGACGAAATGGGGTGATGCTTATTCTTAGGCCTTCAGCACATAACAATTACACACGGCGTATAGATTTTATTACTTTTTGTAAATTTATGTTTTTAAAAATAAGAAACATTCTGATGTTGTGGTGTTTATTTGATTTTAATGGTCAGGTATAATTATGTTATAGATACTGTATTTTATATACCAAATATTAACTAAAATATCTAAAAATAACTGTTTAAATTTTAGTCAATCCCTAATAATGTTAAGTACATACAAACATTTTTATGAACAAATTTACTATACAAATATTATATATAGCGAGCGCTAACCATCTGAGCTATCACGGCTCTTTTCTCTGGCTCTGGCTCTACCGCGGCTGATATACCACGTGCTCGGCGGTGAAGGAAAACACCGTGAGGAAACCTGCATGTCTGAGAAATAAGTAAAAAAAAATATATTTTCAGGACTTGTGAAGTTCGCCAACACGCATTGGGGCAGCGCGGCGGACACTTCCTTGTCTTAGAGCCCTCTCAGAAATGAGAGGAAGCCTGTGCCCAGCAGTGGGTCGTATATAGGCTGTAATTTTAACTTTAACTGATCCCAACACCACGCCTGCAATTGAGGAAGGGCGGGTGTGCTTTTCAAACTAGGTAAGATGTGCCTTTTCTTTACGCAGATCTTAGCTAAATA